ATTCTGTGATATATATTTTTATTTAATTTTCGGTTATTCGTAATAAACTTTTGAACATTAAAATTCTACTGTTTCAGAAATTTTGTTCCGAAAAAATGAAATTAAAATAAAAAATTAGATAAATGAGAGTTTAGCTCTTTTTTGAGTTATTCTAAATAGAAAAAATGAGCAACGGTGTTTTTAAAAGATTGAATATAGAAGAAATAATTGGAAGAATAAGCTGCTTAAGCTGATAATTTACATTCTAGTAAATACAATACTAAAGGTTAGATCAATTATATTCAAAGTTAAGCAAAAAATCGTAATTTTTAGTATAAATAAAAGTTTATCCAATTAATTTTGCAAAATACTTGTTTAATTGCAGAAATTGCTACTTTAACTTTCACTATTCGAAGCACCAAAATCAATGCCAGAAAATGGATAATTCTTTTTTTTTATTTGTGCAAAATTTCACCAAAATTTTCGTCTTTTTTGAAAATAGCTTAACTGTCATCAATTTTCGTTTTCAAATCTTCTCAGTGAAGCATGCCGAACCATTGGCCATTCCAAACATCGCTCATTTCCTACGACAGCCTTTTTCCACCTTTCTGTTCATCTTTCTTCCTTCCATTGTACTTCTGCTGCTAAATTTAATAATGCAGAATTTTTGAAATATATTACAAAAATCGGAATTTTTTTTTGCCATTTTTATTATTGTAAATTAATCGAAGGAAGAAAAATTTCTGGAATTTTTCAGAAATGATTAATATGATAAAATAAAATCAAAAAATTAAGCAATTTTTTCTGAAGAGGATAAAACAAGCGAACTTTCAAAGTTTTAATAAAATACTGGAGATATATTTCGGGCCAAATAAAACTGACAAAAGAAATTACTTTTTTTCATCCCAAATTTTACATTTTTTAAAGCACATCAATCTCGATGTATCAACTTAATAACTAGTTAGATTATATTATATATGCATATTGAACTAGAAACAGAAATTTCTAAAAGTTAGTTATAATTTTTTTATAAAGAATGTTATGTATTTGTAAGATTCAATTATATTGTTAATCATTTCTGACATATTTAACTTTTGTAACCAAAAATATATATACAAAAAGCAAAAAAATATGAATTGTTTGCATATTTTGTTTACACATTCCTTTATCGTCTTGAATGAGTTAAACAGACTGAAATTAATAATTTCAATCGGTGTGTAATCACTCGAATAAACTTTACTTTCCTGCTCATAAATCATGTTCTTAATTTTAATCCATTTCACTCTTTTTTCTTCATAAATCCATTAGACATTTGTTTCTCTCAGAGTACATGCAACTAAATTTTCACTCTTTCTTTTTAAAAATCTAAGAAAAAATTTTTAACTTTTACCTAATTTTCAATTATGACACCACTAAAAATACAACTAAGGAAATATTTTTTTATAAAATTTGAATAAAATTTTTCGAAAATTTGAAAATGTTTAAGTGAAATTTTACAGGTGTACAGTCTGCTAAATCTTATCGAATTCCGTGAAAACATTTATTACATATTTGGGTTATTTTGTCTTATTTCATGGTTTATTTTTAACCTTTGGATACTGCGCGATTATTTCTTCCCGTGTTGGTTTAAACCAATTTACACTGACAAAGGATTCAATAAAGTTGCATTGGAGAGGAAAAGGACGGAATATCTCCAACGACAACGGGTCAGCAATGTCTTCTCTATGTCGGTTTCTCTTGTAGTACCAAATACAGTTCAAAGTTCGCTTCAAAATGCCTCACGAACACCATTGAAGCATGAAATACTAAAATCTCGGAAAAGATTATCCGAATTACAACGACCAAATTCGCAAATTTTAAATCCTTTGACACTTTCCATCATTCAATCAGCACATTAAACTTGGATGATTTGAATTTCACGATTATTTCCATTCTATGCTAAAATTTCAACCAAATTTGATGAAAATATGGAACATATCATAACTGACTTTAATTATAACAGAAACGCGCGATACAGCATTTTAATAATTGAATTATTCATTTAAATGTTCTTGATAGATGAACGCTTATCACTTTGTGATAAAAGCAGGTGATACTGAATTGAATAATTGGAAAAAAATTGATATCTCATGGCACTTTATAGTTTATATGTTGCCTCATTTTAACATTGTATAATCATATGCAATGATTAACTGATTTACCAATGCATTGTTTACAAATGGAATTAATCATTTGAATTTAGTATTTTTCATTCAAATGCATTTTTTTGTGTAACAATTTCTGTCGTCTCTCTTATTTTTCGCTTTTTTCTTCTTCATGATTTAATTAATGTAAATAAAAATCGGTTTAAACAGGATTTATTATGCCATCTTATTATGCATATTTTTCGTTACTTTTTTCCAAATGCATAATTCAAATTGTCAGAAATTATTCAGAAACTGTTGCTGTGTATGATTTATTGGTAACAACCTTTTTCACATCCTTTTTCCATACAATTATTTACCGATTTTCTCAAAAAAAGGAAAAATGTGACGTTTACAATTATGCCTTTCAAAATTATTTGTTGTTGATCGAATTAGTGATAATTTATTGATAAAAACAATCTTATCAGACCTATTAACAATTTTTTTGTATGCTTACTGTTTTGTGTTTACTTAGTATATGATTAAAGTGCAAATATCAAATGTACCATTTAATCGTTAAACCTTTTCATATTATAATTTAAAAGTGACAATGTTAAATTTTACTGAAGATATATTTTATGCATTATTTTTATGATTTTGGTGAAAAAAAGACAAAATGAAAATAGGACACTTTTTTAAGTCACAAAAGGGAATACAATCTTAGAAAGTGAACGATTTAGTGGAAATCAAAGTATCATTATGGTTACTGAAACTCAGTGATTACCATATGATACCACAAAAGAACTTAGTACTTTCATGTGTATTGTAACGAAATTTTGAAAAGTCATTCAATCAATTTGCTTTAAAAAAGACGAAAAAGTTTGAAATCAATATTATTTCATATAGTTAGTAAACAATTTGATAAAAAACAAATGCTAGTTAGAAATTAATTTTAAATTTTGAAATGCCTTCGAGTAGGACAATCTGCATTAGTAAGATAAATGTAAAATAAATTATTGCTTTTACTCCTTTAATTAAATCCTCAGTAAGGTAAGACGAAAAAAGAAATTGAATGTGAAGTGTAAAATTGAACAAAAATACCGCACTACTATTTGAAGTGCTTTGAAATTGCGAAAGAACTACATGCGAACATTTGAATTAAGCCATGTTAAAAATTTTACGCAGAAATTTCAAAATGATTCCCAAACTTTAACAATAATTGCAATTCAATCGCGTATTTGTTTATTTTACACTGCAAAAATAATGTTGTACGAGAAGTAATTTGTTGATGTTGTAAAATTTAGAATTGAAGAAAAAATAATTATTATTCATTATGCTTCAAATAATTATTCCTTAAAAATATCGTAAAATTTTTGCAAAATAAGAAATTCAATGAGATGAAATACTATTTCGAAAATGAATCGAAATATCCAAAAAGACCTAACAAAATTTGTTGACAATTATTTGCAATTTATAACTGCTGGAAATTTTTCAGAAAAAATTATTATTTTGCATATTAAAATTTAATAATTTTAAGATAAATTAATTCCACATGAACTTATTGCTGAGTACTTTGACAAATCGAATCGAAACCCATGTTAACAACGATTTCAATTTATCCCACTTTTTATAATAAACGATTTATTTGACACCGAAAAAAGAAATGAATACTCAGTTAGAAAATTAATTCTTGTAATAGAGAATTTTACGAAACACGTTTCTGAATTTAATTTGAAATTGTATTAATTTTTAGAAAAGTGCAAATTGTATGAATGATCGATGAACACCATTTTTTTTAAACCATGTACATACCTAATTGTAGCTCAAATTATCGATTTGGATCTATTACAATAAAAATTTCTATTTTCAAATTAAAAAATTTCATTTTTTTCTAAAATTTTTACTAACATTTTTGCCTTCTTTTTTTCCTGTCACTTTTTATTTTGAGTTATGCACAATATTTTGGTGATATACTTGGAGACTGATCAAAAAATTATCATCCAAAAATTTGCCTCTTTTCTTTTTAATTTTTTGTTATAATCATTGATTTTAAAACTGTTCTACATATTATATTCGAAGTTAATTTGAGTTCACTACTTAAAATATTTTGCATGTACCACCAAGAATCACAGCATCACATTCTATCTAATTTATTTCACTTAACTTATATAATTATTTCTCATAATTTGTTATCAATGTTATCTGATATACGCAATATTGATCGTCAGATCTCATATTATAAGCCTTATTTATGCCAATATCTGTATAATTTCTTTATGATGAATACTTTTTTCTATTGCAATATCTTGCATTTCTTCAACCTGTATTGATAAGGTATTGATGATAATCATTTTAGGTCATTTTATTTGTTCTACAAGAAAACGTAATTTTCTAAAAAATTGGTGAATATATCATCTCAATATCAAATTAAAATTAAAGGACACTATAGAAGAGGGAGGAAATGCGTTAAAAATTCCTGAACAAAAGTGATAAAAACTGCTTCGCACTAATAACTCGCAAAGATAATCAATAATCACTTTGAAATTCATTTAATTGATTGAAATAAGATAATAGTTAGATACTATCATCGAGAAATATTCTTCATTGAACAATTTCGTCATCTCTGAAGGTGATCGTTTTCTCGCAGCCGAGAATTCATAGTAGTGGACATTTGCACATTTCTATGTTCATTCTCACGACTGATGTTTGCTTGCCATTTACTGTATTCGTTATAATTTTAAAAATCTCAATGTTTAATGATTTTGCTGCAAAAAGCTGCCAAACAAATTTTTTCTAATCAGTATATTAATATCTTAATTTTGTTTAATATATTTTAACTATAGCTTAGAGTTATAAGAAATTTAAACAAATGCGATGATGAATAATGGTAAAAATTTCTCACCAATCGTTTTTCCCCTCAGTGATATTTCTTGATGACGTTGATAAATGTGATGGTCTTCGACCATCTGATGTATTCAATTCCTACAAATAAAATCCTACAAATTTGAATAAAAAACTTTCAAACATGATATTAAAAAAAAAACATTCAAATTGCATGAAAATTAATTCTTGGGCATTTTTTGCATTATCAAGCTTTCTTTCATTTTTTCTTACTTCTCTACAGTAGAGAAGGTTTTATTTTTTTCGTTATAAAAAAACATTATTAGCCAACCTTCAAACGTCTCTTTAGCAATGCTCGTTTTTCTTCACGCAAATCACGTTCCTGTTGTTCCATTAATTGCTTTTCAGTCTGTGACATCGACTCACTCTAAAAATTTTGATTGAAAAACTATAAAATGAAATAATTTTTTCCCTGCTGAAGTAGAATGTATTAGAATTGATTCTGTAAGATAGTATTAGGATGAAATCAGAAAGGATAACGCTATAACGGAATATAAGAGGGTAACGTCCATTGAGATGAAATTAAAGATTTCAAATTGATGAAGAAATCAATTATTTTCAAATTTATTTGGTGTTTGCTTACTAATAAATTTGCTGGTAGCATAGGAACAAAGTAACTAACCGTAGTTTTTCGGGCAACAACAAATGAACGCTTTGTTTTATCCGTACCAATTGGACGAGAATATTTCAGCATTGCAATAAGGCGCTCTTTCGGCTTCAGTGATAACTCCAAGAATAAAATTACTTGAGCCCACTGCAATTCAAAAAGTGATTGATTAAAATTGATGTTGAAATGAAAAAAAAAAATGAAATCCGTAATGCATGCTGGCGGCAGCTTAGTTATACTTTCATCTTTTTTTTAAATTTTCGATAATTAGGTGTTAAAAATAAATAAAAAGGAGAGAGCTTGAAAAAGCTTCCATCACTATAAAAATTAAAATCCCATTGTTTATGAGATTTTATAGTAGATTAAATGAAATGGAGCATATAAATTAAGGAAAATGGCAAACAGCTATTCATTTTTGCTTAATTCGTCGACAGCGATGATTAGTTTTATTGTACGTTAACTACCAGCTGCTTCAATAATTATTTAACAAACATTTTTTAGTGGAACAAACTTGTCTTTTCCACTCGGTAGATGTTCTCGAAATAGTTTCGTAAGTTCGTGTCATCATAGCAATTAGTAAGTTAAACTGCATGATACTAATAAATAATTCAAATATTGTGAATAAAAACTGCAATCGAAAAAAATGATTTCAATTTATATCAATAATTATTGTGCAAACTAAATTATGCGAAATACTCGTTATTTTGGATTTTTTAATGATTACTATATAGAATAATTTGCCTGTATCCAAGATCGAATATTTTAAATGTTAATTGCAGGTAAATCATCATTTGTTCACATTTGTCATTCATTCAAAACTATGCAAAATGTTGTTGAATGAATTAGTTATACACACACACACACACACACACACACACACACAC